TCTTTGAGAAATTGACAAGTGTGCTGCCAAGAATTCGTCTGCGGTTTCCAGGGAATCCTTTTCTGTGATCAGAAAAGCATTCTGAAAAAAAAACGTCAATCAACAGTACCTGGCCAAACTTCCGAATTATGTAAGATTGAGTGGAATGAACTGAAGAAAGTTTTGCAGGTATCGTTGGTTTGTTCAGAAATTGACTGAATTCGAACGCTCTGGAATGGCGAAAATATTCCCATCGGACTGGGAAATGGGCAGACGACTTACACTTGAATACTGCAATATGACAAGGTTACGATTCTATTGCACACTCATCACTCTGTTCACCTTGATGAAAATTCCTTCAACAATTTATTTCACTCTGTTTTTTAATGTTTGCAAGGAATTCAAGTTCAGTCTGAAGCAATAAGCACTCATTATTTGGTTTTCCAGTTATGTTCCCTGAATGAAATTTTTTTTCCAAAACTTAATTGCGAATTTTTGGTTGTCATCAAATGTGGATAGTTACGAATTGATTTATAGGGAAATGTTGGAGAGAATGATGCGTCGAAGACGCGCTGAATTGGAATTCAAAGTTTTAGCGCATGCTATTAATCACACGATTATGTTCGAAAGTTTATTATGCAAACGGTTTCCAGCTAAGGAAGGATTCAATTTTGATAAGGTAATGTATTGTTGAATGTTTTTGTACAATTGTTGTTCGGTTTTGATAGATTTATAAGATTTTTATTGTTTCGTCATTCGCTATTCATCACGTTCAGCTTTATCTCACTGCTGAGATTCCTTTATCTGCTGTGTTGATGAATTCATGAACCCTTCTGAGATTTAATTTCATCGCATTATTTGCCTTCTAAAAAATTTGTCCTGTCTCGTTTTGTGTTGTTTGATATGTTGAAATGTGTTTGATTTTGGGATTGTCCTTTCATAAATTATATTGCAAAATGATGTTTGCAGATAATCTGGCGTGTATTTGACAATTATATGGATGTGTTGGTCGTTGCTCAGAAGAAGAATCTTGACAATTTCATCGAAGGTTGCATAACGAAGATACGGAACGGCACTGAACGACCCACAAGAGAGTCCGCACCGAGCGCATATCCACTGCCGTCATCAGCTGATATGTTTCTGTTGTTGAAGAAAATCATCGCGGAATCGTCAAAACTCAGTTCCAATCCTAGCGCGCTTCTTAAGTTTGTTTTTT